TTCAGGCCATACCCAGTTCTCTGCACCTCTCTGTCCCTGAAAGCCACTGAAGGCCGAGAGAGTTCTGTGCTGGACATGCCCCTCTTGTGTCCACACCTCCCAGCGTCTCTCCAGGTGCCCAGGTGGGGTCACGGCAGGTCTCCCGGGGACGCACCTGACGCTGTTGCCTCCCGGGCACTGCGGGGAGCTGGGGCTCTGAGCCCCGCCCTCCTCCACACTGAGCACCAGCCTTTCCCAGCGGAAGCCAGTGCTGGTGTGCTTGGTACAGTGGTTTTAGACCCGGTTTTGGAGTCGGAGGGACCTAGGTTAGGGTGTAGGTTCCACGGTTACCAGTAACTGTTTCCTTGTCTGTGCAATGTAGGAGGCACCTAACTCGTGGGTTGTAGTGAGGATTTCAATGAGTTATCCCCATAAAGCACTCAGAAGAAGGCTGGGCCCATAGCAGGTGCTCAGTAAATACTTAGTATTATTACCAGCTGTAAAGAGAGGACAATGATCACAGGGCTGTTGAGAAGACCGTGCCCACGGCAGTGCCTGGCCCCTGGTCAGTGCTCAAGAAGTTGATGTCGTTGGCCTTTACAACAGCGCTAAATCAGATGCGGCTTCAGGCGCGCCTGGGTGGCTCAGTACGTTAAGTGTCTGACTCTTGATCTCCACTCGGGTCGTGATCTTGTATTTCCTGACATCGGGCTCCACATCAGGCTGTGCACTGACAGCACGGAGCCTGCTTGGGATTCCCTCTCTCCCTCTCTCTCTCTGCCCCTCCCCTGCTTGTGCACTCTTTCTCTCTCTCAAAATAAATAAACTTTAAAAAAAAAAAGCAGCTTCAGCCTCTACCATTGCGATCTTTTCAGTCGGTTCTGGATACTCACACCACAGAATGAGAGGGAGCTATTGGAAATGGTGCTGTAGAAAAATGAACGGGGAACTTACTCATTCTATAAGGCTTAAGCGAGAAGAAGTTGGGGTTAAAGCTGGCTATGGTCTGAACATGTCCCTGTAAAGATCTTATGTTGAAATCCTAACCCCCAAAGGTGGTGGGTTAGGAGGTAGGACCTTTGGGACATACTTGAGTCAAGAGGGTGGACCCCATGAGTGGGATTAGTGCCCTTATAAAAGGGACCCCAGAGAGCTCCCACACACACCCTTCCACCATGCGAGGACACTAAGTGAAGGTGCTGGCTATGAACCAAGAAGCAAGTCCTCACCAAGACACAACCGTGCCGGCTCCTTGATCTTGGACTTAGCCTCCAGAGTTGTGAGAAATAAATCTCTGTTGTTTACAAGCTATTCTGGTATTTGTAAGGGGTATTTTGTTATAGCACCTCAAATGGACTAAGACAAAACTGTTCAGGCAGTAGGTGATAGAGTGGGGATTTTATTTCTTGTTTCTACTTCTCATAATTTAAAAAATGTCAGTTATGAATGTGTATTTACTTTAGAGTCTGAAAAACTATTGTATAGGATGTTTATAAAGAGTTTTCAGGGGCACCTGGGTGGCTTAGTTGGTTAAGCGTCCGACTTGGCTCAGGTCATGATCTCACAATTCGTGGGTTCGAGCCCTGTATCAGGCTCTGTCCTGACAGCTAGCTCAGAGCTTGGAGCCTGCTTCTGATTCTGTGTCTGCCTCTCTCTCTGACCCTCCCCTGCTCACACTGTCTCTCTCTCTCTCTCAGAAATAAATAAAAAAACAGGGGAGCCTGGGTGGCTCAGTCGGTTAAGCTTCCGACTTCGGCTCCGGTCATGATTGCATGGTTTGTGGGTCCGAGCCCGGCGTCTGGCTCTGTGCTGACTGCCAGCTCAGAGCCTGGAGCCTGTTTCAGATTCTGTATCTCCCTCTCTCTCTTCCCTCCCTTGCTCATGCTATCTCTCTCTCTCTCAGAAATAAATAAAATATTTAAACAAATTAAAAAAAAACATTACAATTTTTTTAAAAAAGAGTTTTCAATGACAAGAGAACATGCTTGTAATCCAAAGTGAAGTTAAAAAAAGGAATTAGATCACAAATAGTTTGTACAGTTTTGGCTCACCTACACAAAATGAAGTATCCAGAAGGAATTAAATATGCCATGATATCATTGTTTGTTCTCTTGGAGTGAGGGTGTGGTGATTTTATTTATAAAAAATGTTATTTATTTATTTATTTTGAGAGAGAGTGTGTTTACGAGCAGAGGAGGGGAAGAGAGAGAGGGAGAGTGAGAATTCCAAGCAGGCTCCATGCTCAGTGCAGAGCCTGAGGCAGGGCATGATTCCACATACTGTGAGATCGTGACCTGAGCCAAAAACGAGAGTCATGCTTAACTGGCTGAACCACCCAGGCGCCCTGAGGGTGTGGTGATTTTAAAACGAGGCTGCGTATACTTTGACCTTCCTCCTGCGGATGGCCTCTCTTGAATCCAGAAGGGCTTGTGACTGTTGTAACCACTAGAATATGGCAGAAGTGACACTATGTAATTTTTTTTTTTTTAATTTAAAGGAATATCTATACCCAACATGGGGCTCAAACTCAGGACCGTGAGATCAAGAGTCACATGCTCTACCAACTGAGCTAGCCAGGTGTCCCTTTACTATGTAACTTTTAAGACTAGGTCATAAAAGGCCATGGAGTTTCCCTTATTTGCTAGAACCTTCTCTCTTGGAGTCCTGAGCCTCTCAGAGGCCACCATATTGTGGGAAAACCTAAGCCACACAGAGAGGCCATGAGTGAGTACTTAGGTCAACAGTTTCAGCTGAATCACTCCAGCCCAGGAGCCAGACGTGTGAATGAAGTTTCTAGATGGTTCCAGTCCCTAGCTGTTTGAGTCTTCCTAGCTGAGGCTTCAGACATCACAGAGGCAAGCCACCCTCGCTGTGCCCTGTCCATGTTCCTGTGAGCATGATTACACGGTTGTTCTCTGCCAATAAATTTGAGGTGGTTTGTTATACAGGGACAGGTAACCGGGACAGGGGGATTGTGGGAAATTTTTATCCTTTTAACTCTACTTTTCTGGAAACCCGGCATTTTTTTTATTGTGAGCATGTTTTCATTATTAAGAACATATAAGGAATTTTTCGTTGAGTGAATAAAAGAGGAAGTCAGGAAAGGAAACAACATGAACTAAAGAAAAGGGAAGAGAGAAAGAGGCAGGCAGAAAGGAAGCAGGGAGCTGTTTTTGTGGGAAGGCCTTGACTCCACCTCTCTCAGGAATCATGGAGCTCCTGTAAGCTTCCTCTGGACATCTCTTCCCTCCAGGGCCCATTCCCTTAGATTACTCTGTTCTTAGACCATGACTGAGGTGTACAGTGGCAAATGGCTCAGAGTCAGACAACTGGCTGTGTGTCTTTCTGCAACTCACTCAACCTCTTTGAGCACATTTCCTCGCCTGCCATGCGGGTACACTTGGACACAGCTGGAATGTGGGAGAAGCAGGATTCAAATCCAGGGTTGTCTGACACACGCAGGGCAGTTCTCTTTTTCCATTAAGGGGGCCCAGGAAAAGATAGCTGGGAGAAGAAAGCTGCCCCCAGCCAGCGCCAGCCTGGGAAACTTCTGGGCAGGCTGATGCTAGGGCCAAGGTGCTAGGCACAGAGCAGGGAGGCTGGGGGCCCAGGCAGAGGCCAGTGCTGCTCTAGTCCCTCCAGGAAGCCAAGTGATCCCTCCCATAAACCTTTCACCCCTGCATGCTCTGAATGGAGCCATTCAGAGGAGGAAACCTGACCGGCCGATGTTTTATATGTTTTATGTATGGTCCGGTCGCGCCAGCAGCGCAGGCCTCCTGGGAGGTATTCTTTTTAGCTACAGCATGTGAGTGAGTTGGAGGCTTGAAAGAAGCAGCCCAGTCACCCACCTGTCCAGGCCCCTCACCCAAGGACTCCTTGCCTTGCTGGGTGGCCGGAGGCAATGTTAACACGTTCTGTGCCCAGCACTGGTGGTGGTGGCCCAAGCCAGGCATCCGTCGGGGGTGTGGGGTGGGGGTGGGCTGGCTCATCATTCCAGCCTGTCTGTTGTGTAGCCAAACAAAGCAGCTGGCCTTCTCAGACACCTGCGTGGCCACCTCCCACGGGGAGCTCCCTCCCTGTCCAGCTATTGGCCCTGAGTAAGGCCAAATCCAGGGGAGGGGAGTGAGCACGTTCCCGACGCTCTGGGAGAGGATGTAACCTTTGTCAGCCTTTTGAAATTCCTCTGCTGCTGCAAAACAGGAGCTGGCTGCGGGGGGTGCCAGCTTCCATCCCTCCCAGCCTCCTCTGGGGCAGTGTCCGCCCCTGCTAGGGTATCCATCACAGGGTAGATTGGCAGCGGAGGCTGGGTAACACTACCCCTCCCGCCTTGCTTCCAAATGAGTTTCGGCGGTGCTGTGGCTCATGTGCATGAGTACCTACTCTGTGCTCAGTGCTTGTTAGCCCATCACTTCCTAGTCTTCACAACCTTTGGGGGTAGGAACCGCTGGGTCTCACTTTTATGGGGAAACTGAAACTCACCGAAGAGAGTGACCAGCTGGAGGCCACACAGGGAGTTATGGCAGAGCCAGGACCCAGACCCAAGCCTGTCTGTCCCAAAGGAGTATTCTCTGCACTTTGAGGCCTGGTCTACTGACTTCTTTAGGTCAAGAGCCCAAACCCCCAACTCACCGGCATTTTGTCTTTTCTCTCTCTCTTTTTTTTTCCTCCTTTCGCTGAATCATCACAAGCCACAATATGTGGATGTGGAAGGAATGGCAGAGATCGCCTCTTCCAAGCTGTTCATTTCTCAGATGGAGAAGTGGAGGCCCAGAGAGAGGAGGGTGCCTCCTGAAGGTCGCATGGCCCAAGGGCACTGCCCCGTGTGCTGACCTTATTCCAGGCCTCCTTCTTCTGCTCCAGCCCCAGATTTTCTAGTACCTCATCCTCCTGGCGCCGCCCCCCCCCGCCCCCCCGGCATTTGGCAGATTGGTCACGAGCTAGCTCATAACCCCTCATGTAGTCATCCACATAAGGGGGGGCGTGGCCTTCATTTGAAATGGCCAGGAGACGGCGCTGGGTCCTCATGGCACTGATGAATGATATATGACTGAGGTCCAGTCAGAAATCTCTCTGGAGATGTCAGTGAGAGGGAATTCCATAGAGGACATTGACCAGGTAAGACGTGTGAGAGCCAAGGGGCCCAACAGAGAAAGGTAAGCGGGCCAGGAGCTTAGCATCAGCCAGAAGCTGCTCCCACCCCGGGGCCTAGGACAGAGAGAGGAGGTGGTGTTACCCGAGTCCGGGAGCTGGGGCAGGGGCGAGAATCTAGGCGGGGGCAATCTGGTCGGAGCAGGATCGTAGACCCAATGCGGTTTTTGTTGGAAACACAGCGATGGTGGGAGAGGGGAGAAATACCTTGGCTTTTCCCTCTTCCTACTTTCTTCCATGCCTCCCATTGGCCAAACCAGCCCAGAAGCCATGTAGCAAAGGAGTCTGGGAAATGTAGTTCCTGTGATAGGGAGCGGAGCAGGAGAAGAGCCAAGATAGGATCTGAGATCAACAGGTAGTGACCGGCACAAGCTTGATCCAGCATTACGGCTGTAACGGCAACCATTGGTGAAGTGTTCCCCAGGTGCTCTACCTCCAGTAACTGCTTTTCCCCCCGTGGTAACCCTTTCACAGACAAGGAAGCTGAGGCACAAAGTAATGAAGTAACTCAGCCAGGAAGTGGGGGAACTGGCTTAAACGCTGGTCTTATGCTCAGACTCCACCCTCTTTCTTGCTGCAGACCCGCCCGCGCCCCGCCCCCCCCCCCAAGCGGGGTTCCAGCCATGCCTGGGAGCATGCGCTCTGGGTTGAATGGCACCTCCCTCAATACAAGCTAGTTGTTAACCCATCTTACAGCTGAGGAAATGCAGACAGGTTACAAGAACCCGCTGGGTCACTTGGCACATTGGTGGCAGTGTTGGGACTTTCGACCCGTCTCTTCTGGCTTCAGAGCACACGCCCTTCAGAGCACAAGAGACCCCTGCCCCTGTCCAAGGTGCTCCCTGAAATCCCTTCTAATGGCCACTGTTGGGATCCCCCATAGCCCTCTCTAGCTCATTAACTCTGACCGGCTGGCTGGGCTGGCGTGCCTCGTGCATGACCCACACGCCCAATTAGAGGAATTCAAAACGTCATTTATTTATCAATGACTTAAGCTCATTTGATCATGAAGGATGGAGCCCAAACTGTTCTCCGAAGTCACTATCGTCCCTCAGCTGTGCCAAATCCGCCTTTGATCTACTAATCCTGAGTTTATAAGGTTAGGAGATAAGTGGGCGGAACGAAATTCTTTTCTCTTTTGGTCCATCTAAGCGGCATGAAACCCCCAAACATCATAGACCTCCTGGGCCCCTGCCTCCTCGCCAGGATAAGGCAGACGGTGTGTGAAGGGGGAGCTGGTGTCCTGGTGCACAAGTTATTTGGGGCAGCAGGCACCAGCCCCCGATCTGCCTACTTCTTTTTCTTCTTCTTCCTCCTCTCCCCCTCTCCCTCCTCCTCCTCCTGCACTGCTCTCTGGATGCCAGCCTGGGGCTTGGAAAACCCAGGAAGCCAATCCAGCTACTGACCTCACCAAACTGCTGAGAGCCTGCTCCACCCCCCCACCCCCCCACCCCCGCCTTTCATTTTATACACAAATCTGCTCTTCCATCTGGAGCCCTACTGCCTGGTACTGACCCTGGGGAGGTGACAGAAACCCTGTCCATAGGAGAGGGACAAGATTTCAGGCCAAGTGAGCCCAATCCAGATTTATGGTGCCCTTGCGGGAGAAAGCCCCCAGGGAGTGTTTATAACTCAATGCATTGAAGAGCATGAAAGATTTGTAGTCGGACAGTTGTGATGTAAAGTCCAGCTCTGGCCAGTTATGTGACCTTGGGCAACCGGTTAACCTCTCTGAGCCTCCGTTTCTTTATTCAGAAAACGGGGATAATGACGGTACCACCATCATTAATTGAATTCTCACTGCAAGAATCCAATCAGGACACCTGCAGCCTGGTGCAGACTAAGTGCTTTACAAAGGGCGCTGGTCCTGATGATTTTCCTGATCCTCTGTAAGAACTTAGCTCCCAACCATGCAGCATCTCTTACTCACCCATTTGGTGGGTGCCCTGTGGGTCTGTGGCCTCTGTCTGTCCCCACGAACCCTGGACACAAGTTGTGTGGCCCCTGCCACGTTGCTTAGGCCAGGGCTGGGGGAGACACCCCAGGAAGCGGGACAGAGAACAACATGGGCTCTGAGGAAGATGGGGGAACGTGGGCAGGTGCTCTTGTGAGCAGCTATGACTGACTCAGGCCACGGACTGCTAAGGGCCACAGGAGAGAGGTTCACTGGTTGGAAGAGGCCACTTGGAGACTGGGGCGGAAGTCTCCTGGGTTGCTGAGAGGCTTGGAATGCAAGTGTCCTGACCTATTTCATGCCCTTTAGATGCAAAAGGCCTTCAAGGGCAAGGACTGATCCTAGACAGGGGAAGGGAGAGGCCGAGGCCGACCAGCCTGATTCTCTTCCACTGGGGCGTGAGAGAAGCGGGTAAGGGCAGGGTCACTGCTTTGGGTGTCTGGAGGCTGTATTCTCACCTGACTTCCCACCAGCTCTGAGCCAAGTCCCCTCGCGTGGAAAACATCGCCTGACCTCTTGCCTGCCTCTCCCTTTTCAAACTGTATACTGGGAGCCCCCTTGAGCTAAGGCTCTTCTTGATTCATCTTTGAGCAACCCACCTGTCAGCGGAGGGCACTCCGTGTATAAGATGTCCATAAAATAGATCAGATCCTACACTTACATCTTGGAGTGGGGATGGGTGGGAGACCAAGCTCTCCTGAGATTTCTGCAAGGTTCAAGTGTGGACAGTTTCATGGTCATGGCTGGCTCTGACTCCCTGGCCCCCACTCCCCACCTCCTCTCTCACTTCCTCTCTCCTCCATGACTGAGTCCTTCCCTGTCCCTGCCCCAGAGTGGACCCAAACTCTTTCCCCACATGCCCTGCAATTACCGCTGACACTAGTCATTTCCTGGCACAGCCGACTTAGCTGGTTGAGGGTTTCAGGAGAAGGAAGTTCGTATTATAGAAACTGCCCAGTTCAAATCCATGTTGTGGTCACTCTTCCCTGGAAAAGCCCCTTAGCCTTTGCCCCCAGGGACATTTTTCACTCAGTGCCTGTCTACGTGAGCTCCTGCTATGCGCCTGCTGTTTTCTCCAGCAAGTCCTTAATCCCGGCGAAACCCTTACGTGGGGGCAATTCTGTTTATTACCATCTTCCGAGCATGCACATCAAGGCTTCACCCTCACACACAAAGTGCCCCAGCAAGATATTTCTCAACAAACCTCAATGAACGTGCATGCTAGCACACCCCCCTCTCTGGGTCTGTCTTCTCTCCTCTGTCTGTGGTGATCACCGTGTCTACCTTTCCATCCAGCGACCCTGTTGTTTGGGATCAAGAGAGACTAAAGCACAAGGAAACAAAAGGGCCACACAAACGTTTGAATCCTCCTTGGAATAAGTATTCCATGATGATCACGAGGGCATGCGGCCTTTGGAAGAACTTGAGTCTCTTCAGTTTGGATCTCCATGCAGGAAGTTTTTGACCTTGCTGACAAAAGGGCCCTTTGCTCTCCCCACCGCTGAGATTTGCCAGATGCTGGAAGGATGGCTCAGAAACTCTGAGGGTCCCTGTCAGAGAGGAGAAAAGATGTCCGTCTCCTCTCATTTGGTCTCTCTGTGGGGAGAGGGACTGTTTTATTCTCTTCCCCACTTCTTCTTCTTTTTTTTTTTTTTTACCATATGCAAATCTCTCTCTTGGCTTCCCTCACAGCTTGATAAGTGATTGGTTCTTGCTTTCAACATCAAGAGCAAGGCACATATTTTTTTACTTATGCGCAATTCTGTGTCTAAGTTCTCGGGCACTGAGAGAAAACAATATAGTTCTCCTGCAGGAGGTAGACTGTGTAAATATATATTAGTTTGGGGAGAAGGCACGAGGGATGATAAAATATTCAGAAAGCGGTCTCTTCTTGAGGGATGTTATTCTGCACAGCCAGGGAGCAGATTAATGACACCGTTTGCGAGGAAGGGAGACCAGCCCCATAAAATATGGATTAGTGGGGATGGTGGTGGGGCGGATGGGGGTGTCTGGGGTTGGACGTGCAGACCCCAGCCTCAGAATCTGGTGCCCACCTTGGTCTCCCTCTTTGGAGCTCCCAACGGCTGGCTCCAGGGCCCTGGGGGAGTGAACGCTCCGATGTGGATGTGCCAGCCATACCACGGGTAGCCGCAGGGGACCCACTGGGCACTGGAGAACGAGGTGAAGAGTTGGGAGGCCTGGCCCTGCCGCTAACCTGCTGTGTGGCCTTAGGCAAGTCACTTAAGTCTCTGAGTCTTTGTTTCTTCTACTATGCAATGAAAAGCAAAGGCTTCTTAACAGGGCTTAAGGGGTGGTGTGGAGTGCATAGGGTTTTTTCTGGAAATGAAGCAAGACAGCAGAGTTGTATTTGCCACGCCTCACCATCAGGAGTGTACTGTACATGCTTGAAGACATTCTCTGATAAGCCAGGTGGAGGTGGGGGGGGAGGCCCCCTCAGGGCCCTGCTTGAGTAACCAGAGATGGCCCCTAAATTGCCTTCTAAAGTGGACAGTTCTGTTAACTAGGGTTTTGTTTGGTTTGGTTCAGTAGGAGTGCAAGTTTGGGGCCAGAGCTGAATTGCTTGTAGGAATGTGGCAGAAAGCATGGCTGAGGGTGGCTAACACCGTTTGGCCCGCCCTCTAAGTCAACGGTGGATAAATATTTACAGTCGGTTGGCCTGCCAGAGGGCCCTGCATGTCTTGGACCAGGGCTGATCCCTGGCGTTACTTCTGCCTCAGACACTTCAGGTTTCTCTGTCCCATTTCTACTCAGACCCCAATTCAAGACCTTCCCGGAGCCGAACTCCACCAAACTGAGATTTTATGACAAAGGGTGGCCTCTTGCTACTCCCTCGGATTTCACACAGCAAGAGTAAAAGCTTTGTACTACCCAACCCGTGTGCTAGGCACCATGTTACAAGTGTTCTCTCATTTCACCCCTAGAACATGGAAGTATGATGATTGTCCCATTTTACAAATGAGAAGGCTGAGGCTCAGAGAAGTCAAGGAACTAGTCCAAGATGACACAGCAGTGAGTCAGATGCAGGGGCCA